ACCAGTTTGAATATTTCCCACCAGTCTGAAAAACTTCTACCGGTTCAAAAAAATTCAAACCGAAGAAAACATTTGACCCACCACATTATATTTGACGCAGGGGTAGACAAACACAGGAGGAGCAAATAAATACCTTTAGTTAGAAGTATTCCATAAACTTCCACTCTCAGACCTTTATAGCCACTAAATGCTGTGGGCTGAAAGCGGATAAACTTTGCACTTGCAAATTCCTGAAGACTGTTTTTTACAACGCTATTTTGATCGGAGTTTCCAGCAAAGACCTATAGTTGGTGGTGCAAAATTTGAAACTATTTCATCATTATTTTCTTAATATACTGTATCATTAACTACTTTAAGTACCAGGTATGTCATAAACAGCCAATTTCAGCTTAGAAATTGATAACCAAATGATTGAACCAGGAACATGGAGATGTGTGTAAGCAAATGTCTGTAATCACTAAATTGCTGTTGAAAGACTTATTGCTTCTTTTGTTAAAAAACTGGTACAAAACCAGTATGTGACCCTGTACTAAGTAGAAGTTGAAACATAATTTCTGCTGATAGTTGAGGGAGAAGTAAATGTCGCTCCTGAGAGATCATTAGAGGCATTGATCAGACAAAACAACAAAACGGACCTTTTCTAAGGGACCAAATTTCACACAATTCAAATGTAATCCCTTGGGTGTTAAACAAAGTGACTAATGCAAAGTTCAGAAAAACAACAGTGGAAAGGAAGATGAAACAAAAAATTGAACTGCATGGCTAATTAATCAGCTTGAAAGAACAAGGGCTTCATTATAGACTAAGATTAAAGTGAATGAGACCTACATTTTTCATTCACATCACAACTGCCTGTTTAGATAAATACAAGCATGGTGTTGCAGTTTTGAATGCACGAGTATGTATTTACAAATTGACACACAAATGATGTTAACAAGTCTAATTTTCTCAGCTCAACAGTTTTGCAATACATGAGGGATCTGTAAGTATTCTCCATGCATTGCTTATGTGTATACACTGTACATGCACTATTCATCTGACAAAAACAACCTTGAAGTTCGTATACACCAACCTTATCAGTACTGTTTTCCTGATAGGTGACAAACTTGGTATCTTCAATTGCTAACCGTAACTTGTATTTTGTTGTCCACTCAATCGTCCTTGGATTTCCCTGTGTAGCTACAGCACAGATGACATACTCAAACAGCAGGTCAATTTGAAGGTAATCATTAGCATTATTGATACCCATGGGTGCCCATGACCTTGCACCATTTAGGCGACCGTATTTAGCTGCATATACTGAATTAAATTCTGACAAGGCTGAAAAGCTGCTGTCTGGAATGGTGTCACTGCTGGCTACACCAATGGCTTCCATATAACATCCTGCAAAATAACAATACATAACCAACTCTCCCTAAATAAAAAGTGTTGAAAAAATAATACAGAAAATGGTAAGAATGGCAAATACGAGTAAGAGAGCGATCTTCGCAGTAACTTTCATATATTAACAAACAGTAGCAAATACTCCATCAATGCATTGATTCTAGTTGAGCGTGGCCCTTTAATGTGCATTTCAAATCACAAAAGTTACATTTGATCTACAAACAAAAAATAACCAGATTTTATAAAAGTTCATAATGAAGTTTCCCTCGGTGAATATCGAAACAATTTAATGTTGAATATCATGAGAATAACAGATAATCGAAGGTGGCTTACTTTCTTTGATGAGTGCATAGAAAGTTAAGTATATATCATTATAATAATAGGTTTGGCCACTTACAGTAATACTGGAAATAAGACGATTTTCAGTCCATTTCGGTTTTGCTACAAGCATGAGCAAATTTTATTGCTCATGCTTGAGCAATAAAATGAGCAAACTTGAAAAACTGCAAACAAAAGTACACAGCTGGTATAGGGCAAGTGGAATTTGTAGTCTGAAAAATTTTTACAAGTGCTTATTCACACAAAATTGCACGAGAGATCATGTCATTATTTATTGATAATTCACACAAAAAAATGCATTGTGGTAAGTCAAGACTTTAAATAAGTAAGTCGACGACCTATTTTCTTAACCAGCATTGATCTGTTGAAGTCTTTGTTCACCCTGATATACGGCATAATTTACCTCTTTTCACTAAAACGATTATATGGTTAATTTCAGAAGTTTCAAAGTTTTGCTGGAATAGCATAGGCTAGTTATGGCAACATCTCCATTCCATTAAAGTTTGCCAAGGAAAAACATATTCGTAAAGACAGTTCATTATCAAAGAAACGAATGCCAAATGCCTAAAATAACAAAAGGTGACAGCAATCGCATAGTTCCATCTAAATTAAATCCTGCTGTGAAACAAATACTTCTTCCCAAGCAGGAAACCCTGCCAAGGAGAAAATCAGCCCCTCTTTCCAAACATGAAAAGATACCATCATCACATCGGGTCTCATCATCTGGAAATGACTCATCTGATTCCCTTTCAATTCGCTGCTAAGGGAATCACATTTCCCATCTTCCTCGTCGTCTTGTGGCCTGCTGTTTTCTTGCTACTCCTTAAAATCAGAGCATACAAGGCTGACAGGCTCACTCGGCTGAGTTTCTCTGTCATTGAGGTACAACAGGAGAAGTCAAGCTCTTGCCATCATTGTTTTCTGTCTAACAAAGAGCCGATGCACGGTTACACCAGGGTTTATGCTCGGTCCCTCATTTTCTGCATGCTCTGTGGTGCCATTGGTGCAGGTGGTAAGGGTTGGATACCAGTATGGCTGATAGGATCATGCCACCTTGGGTACAGGATGTCAAGACTTTGGATTTGTAAACTAGTTCGGCACCCAATCAGTTGTCCTCTCTAAGCCTTCTTTGGCTGCATTGCAAAAGTTTTTTGTGCACTCCAACATCGTGCAAAATGGATCTTTGCAATGCACAACCGAATGACTATTCTTTGCGTCTAATGTCATGCCACGTAACTGGTTTATAACATTTGTGGTAAGAAGGGAAATCTTATCCTCTAAAAAACGACTGCCTAGGGGGCAAGCTTTTTTAGGGCTTTCGTGCAGATCAGTTTCTGTGAAAATTCTCATTAACGGACTCCTTGCTTCTTAGTTCCTTTAAGTGACTATTTCCCAAATCCCACTTCTCAAAATTGCCTATTGCTGTGTCCTCTTCCTACAAACAATCCCGCGTCACACTCCATTCTGACCCTAAATTCCCAAATCCCGGGCATCAAATCAAGGATCCCGAAAAAACCTATTCTGTACCCTCTACAAGACAACAAATACAATAAGATGACAATGTGAAACATGCTAAAATAAATACGAGTTTCAAACTCATCACAATTCAAAGGTACCAACAGTAAATTCACATTCATAATTCCTTTCCTATCAACTATTCTCCTTTGATGTGAGTTTTGTTTCATGAAAGAATTGATTGACAGCTTATTCAACATTGAGCATGAGAATAACAGGTTGTCCTGGGTGGCTTGGTGTCTTTGATGAGTGCAGAAGCAGTAGTTTGTACAATTTAGCCACTAATCTAAAATACACACATGAATCATCAAAAAAAAGGTATTAGATACGTATGATGCACGATCCTCGCAGTAGAGAGCGCTATTTATGCAATAGCGAAAATCAGACCTGCAAAAAATCATTTGGATATATCAACAAAGTTGAAATGGTAAATTGGCCACCGTAACGATTACAAAAGCTGACGTTTCGAGCGTTAGCCCTTCCTCGGAGCGAATGAAAAAAATCAGGCTTGTACGGGATTCGAACCACTGACCTCTGCGATACTACTGCAGCGCTCTACCAATTGAGCTAACAAGCCAACTGGGAGCAGGCTGTTAAGCTAGTAGGTCTCAAAAGCCTTTTAAAAGATTAAAAGAGTTTCTTAGATTACCTACAACATAAAACTAATAACAACATGATAATAGTAAGGTTAACATGCGAAAATAAGTATGACTATATTTCAAACTCACTTGGCTTTTGTTTCACTCCAAACACCTCTGTTCTCATACACACCCCACCCTGGTGTATTTGTGGCAGGAATCGTAGATATCTTGTTAACAATCCATAAACAACATGCTTCACTTCTGAACTCCTGTCATCATTTCCTCTCAGAAACTTGAAACAAACAAATAGTCACAAGTCATCATCAGTAACTAATTTTTCAACTTGAAAAAGGGGCAGGGAATAAAATATCACAAATGTAACTAGCAGCCAAAATGATTATTAATAAGATCAAAATTCTTAGTTAGGACTTCCATCTTTGTGGGATATTCTACACTGTCAGACCTTATTGTTCGTGTTAAAGTTGTAAAAGTACACTGTAGTTTTTTAAGCAGCTAAGTCTCATACTGTATTTCCTATATACCTTGACTTACGTATGATGCACGATCCTTCGCAATTGATAGCGCTATTTATGCAATAGCGAAAATCAGACCTGAAAAAAATCAGGCCTGTACGGGATTCGAACCACTGACCTCTGCGATACTAGTGCAGCGCTCTACCAATTGAGCTAACAAGCCAACTGGGAGCAGGCCGTTAAGTTGATTCGTAATAAACCCGTGATGATAAATCAGATGCAACGAATATATGAAGTTCATATATTTTGAACTGCGGTATTAAATACGTATGATGCACGATCCTTCGCAGTAGATAGCGCTATTTATGCAATAGCGAAAATCAGACCTGAAAAAAATCAGGCCTGTACGGGATTCGAACCACTGACCTCTGCGATACTAGTGCAGCGCTCTACCAATTGAGCTAACAAGCCAACTGGGAGCAGGCCGTTAAGTTGATTCGTAATAAACCCGTGATGATAAATCAGATACAATGAATATATGAAGTTCATATATTTTGAACTGCGGTATTAAATACGTATGATGCACGATCCTTCGCAGTAGATAGCGCTATTTATGCAATAGCGAAAATCAGACCTGAAAAAAATCAGGCCTGTACGGGATTCGAACCACTGACCTCTGCGATACTAGTGCAGCGCTCTACCAATTGAGCTAACAAGCCAACTGGGAGCAGGCCGTTAAGTTGATTCGTAATAAACCCGTGATGATAAATCAGATGCAATG